ACCAACAAATAGTGGGATTGACCGTCACATTATAATGCCCCCATGACTGAAAGGGCGAGCATGTTTGGTGGGACGGGATTCGAACCCACGACCCTCAGATTACGAGTCGAGCACCCTAACTACCTGGCCAGTTAATGTATAATATACAACCTTATCCCTATTTTGATAAAACTTTGGGGGGGGGGACTTTACACGGCAATAATTATTGCTTTTTAGAATGGATTTCATTTTAACTACATGAAATTTATTTGAAAATCTTTCCAAGCAAATAAAATGAAAAATTTGTGACTTTTTAATTAACTTATCTTAAAATAGTAATTGCTGCAGATATTTCAATGTTTTCCTCAATGGAAGAATTGTGCAAACAATTTCAGTGAAGCAGAATACTTCATGCAATGTCTCTGTAAAAGTGGAAAAATATTTTAAGGTTATCTCCATACAAATGAATAATTTTTCTTTCATATGCTAATTACTTTTAACACTTTTTATACAGAATTAGAAATCATTATGCCAGTTGATGAGATTTTAAGTCAGTTTCAACATTAAACATTTGAACATAGTTAAATCTTTTGTGGAATTATCCAAATCATACCATTACAAGCTTAAGCCTTATAATAGCATAACATGTATGTGTACAATAGAGAATGGACAGCAATTGTCTCTGGTAGACACTAATCATGACACAGAACGAGAAAGGTGTATTTTTATAATAATTTTATTTGTCTTATAAAAAAAGTTTGTTTTACACTACTGGACAAATCATGAGAATCACACTTAAATATCAACAATCTACATATTTTACATCTTCTAAAGAAGTAATATTGTTGATAATCCTAAAGTTCTACAAAGAAACAAAATCCCAGTATTTGAAACTTCTTTTAACATAAAAAAAAAGAAAAGAAAAAAGTTGAAACCACTCGTAAACTACAAATATTCTGTCAAAATTCATTAAAAAAAACACGTGACTGAACTTGATATCCTAAGTAAACATACGACAAAAAAATTGAAGTATTAAAGTAATAAACTGAGGAACTAATTGATGTAATGAATACTTCAGGTTTAAGTTTTTTCTTTCCATTCATTAGTCACTCTTCTCCAGCAACTGGCGATCAAACAGATACTCTCCCATACCGCTGTTCATGGCTCCAAGCTGGCTAATGTAGGTCTTATATTCATTGATTGAGTCCACTTGTTCTGTAAGAAACTCTCCCTCGATGAAGTCCATCAACTGAAAAATGAGAAACAATTCTTTCTTTATTCATTTATCAAGTGTATGTGAATTTTTTATTCAATTCACAATTTCAAACTACTTTGTTCCTCCCCCCCCTTAAAAAATTTCTGTAGACACCCATGTGAAAAAACCCTTTCTTTCATGTCCTCACAGTCTTATACACATATATAAAATTCAATATTGTGAAAGTATTACAAGTTTTTTTTTATTGATTTATACTGCAAAATGTTTCATGAGGATTCTAGCTTGTTTTCCAAACTACTGTTAGGTACAACTGTTTAATTTTTAACACTGCATTTAATCCTGAAAAAGTAACATAAATAACTCTTTGTAAGTTTAAGCAGTTATCTTTACGAGTGCAATTTTCTTGTATTATAACCTTCCTAAAATTGTATATTTAAAGTTTGAATAAAAAACAGATAAGTTGAATCTTTTTTTTTCATTATTATTTATTTAGCTACCTGGTAATAACTTACATGCGGATCACTGCAAATTTTATCAGCCATGTGGTGAAGATGATGCAATTTGTTGTTAACATGCTTCTCCAAATTCATAGCATCTTCCAGTGCTTCCAATCCACTTTTCCAATCATCCTTTCCTGGCATCTGTGGGATTAAAACAAATTTATTTGCTGACAGAATTAATTACTACTAAAGCTGTAAAATACTTGTTTTGTTTATTTGGAAATAAACTTCTTCAAAGATTTAATCCTGATTACAGAAGAAACAAACTTGGCAGAAATTTCATTTTGTTGTAACATTGTTCTTTCATTGGTGGATTCTTTTAAGTTATCTAATGAAAATAATTCAAAATTCAGTCCATCTAACAATAAAAATTAGTATATTTCCTCCTTAACGTTTCTACACAGGCTTGTACACTTTATAACTTGTAAGCAGAAGAGATTATACAAGTGTCGCTCAAACAGAAGTAATTTCTCTAAAGTAAAAAAAATAAAAACTTATTTGTCCAACTTCACAGTTGATCAATCAAGCAGGTGAAAACAAATTTTCTGACAAAAACACAATGACTGATCAACTATCTATGCTTCATTGTGTAAACATGCTTAATCTACAAGTCTCTTGTTCATTAATATTCCCCAATATTCTAGGACTAACATGATCTAAACTGCATCAATTAAGTTATAAGGCCCCTAGCATAAGCAGGATTATGTGTGTGTGGGGGGTGGGGGGGGGACTGACCCCCCACTTTTTGTTTCTGTGGGATATAGTATACACATGATATTGACAATAATTAAGTCATTTGCACACACACACACACAAATTTTGTTCCCAAATTTTGCTAATGGCCCTTAGTAACAAATGATCACACACACACACAAGCAAAAACAAATATTCGAGTTAGTCCCACTACTTGTTGCTGAAGTACCATCTCTATTTTTACTGAATTATTTATATTAAATTACTCAATACAATATGTGGACCAACTGGTACTATGAACGGAGATGTACATGATGCACAATATTTAATATCAGTTACAAAGAACATTTCTACCATATTGGTCCTAACATCAAATAATTTTATTTCAACATACGATACGAAAATTGTTTTCATTTCTGATAAGTTAAATTTCGAAACAAGAAAAGTTATTTCAATAGGTATATAAAATATAATCATGCAACCAGACTGGTAAATGTATTGAAAACTATTTTTAAACAATTACGTTTTTCGAAAGAAACAAATACAAGTACCGTCACTGTTAATATCGCTACAGTACAAGCCTAACTTTCGTTCCGAAATTGATTATATATTAACTTTGAAATGTACCTTAATATCAAATGCGATCACTTTCCCACTTCGTTTGTTGACGTAATCGATTAGCTTTTGCGCATGCTCTCTTTCTTCGTCCGAGCTGTGCTTGAAGAATTTAGCAAAACCCTTCCTGCCGACAGAGTTACTGTCAAAGTGAGCCGCCATGTTCATGTATATGAGACTAGCGTGCATTTCTTCGTTGATCTGATGCTGGATGGCGTTAACGCATCGGTCGTCCAAAGAGTATCGGTCGGTTTTAGGTTCTTTCATCTCATTGTCTAGGATCAGTATAAAGAAAATTGTATTAGTTTCAATCCTCCTGGTGAATAACTTAAAAATAACTTAAGTTAAAAAACATTATAAAATGTTATATCCATTTTATATATCACTTCAGTGAGAAAATATGTTTTGAAAGCAACATAAAACAGCTAACACAATTTAAGTTATTAACAAAATACATTAAGCCTATACATAATGAAGCTGCAAATGATTCACGTTTTTAGAATAATTTCAAATGAACTAAATATTATAATTATTATTGTCGTAAGTATTAACCCTGTTACATTTTAAACACCGCATTATTTATCTAGTCCCTTACAGATTTTCAAGCATTAGAAGAGTGTATAATAGTATTTCAACCACACTATATTTGTCATATCCACTGCTGACGACGCATTTCACTCAATCCAGAGCTCTTCAGGCCGACTGGGAAACAACAAACCCAGCAGTGGTCAGGACACTATTTACATTGTTGCGTCATCGAGATCACGTGACAATTCTCATGCCCTCTTGTTTCTAGAATTATCTTGTACTTTGGCGAATGTTCTAGTTCTTACTAGATATAGGGTAGGCTGGTATATAAAAGAGGGGAGTGTAATGTGTGTATGGATAGTGAGTAATTGAACTGCAGTCACAGGGTATTGTTGAAGTTAACGTTCGTTCGTAACAGTGTTGTTTTGGCGCGAGTATTGAGATTAAGTGTATCGCAGAGTTATATTCGGAAAGAATAAACCAGTTTTATTGAGTAAAGACTTGTGTCGTTAAAGTTTTGTTGGAACGAAGTTACGGAAAAATCAATTAACGGTAGAACTATTTTTTCTTTTGCCATAGTGAGTCTTTTTTTCCAACTGTTTTTTCCATGCAAATTTCACCATCTCCCAATCATTTCAATGTCAAAATTGTAACATATTGTTATGTCTCTGGTCGTTTGTTAATTTCCCATAAAAATTCTTTCTGAAGAACTTCAGCGATACAAGTCCTTTCTTAAATAAAACTAGTTTATTCTTTCTCAATACAACTTTGCAATACACTTAATTTCCACAGTCACTTAAACTTAAATACACGCTATAATTCACAACGATTCACGCACTTTACTTATGGTCACTACTGCTCACTTGAGTCGATTATCTGTCTCTATATCTGTCAGGATTCAAGTGCAAGGTTCACTTAATTCTAATTTGCCAAGTGCTTAGGTTAAAGGAGCTTGTAACATGTAATTACAACTATGAAATATGACATCAAGCACTGGCCAAGCTAAACAAGTACACATGCCCAACCTTGCTTGTAGAACATGTATGGAGCATTTGAGAACATCCTGATCTCCAGGCTTGACCAACTACCTTGTTGTCACTGTTAGACAATGGGAATACACAAACCACACTCTCCTACAATCTGGTTGTCATGCAGACAACACCCAGTTCCAGTATGAAAGAATGGGATTTGAGAGTGTATTAGATTCCTACAAAGTTGAGTTGACTTGGCTAGGTAGCACTAACCTCACTTTTGGCCATTAGCCTTTACCAACATTTTTTATCATCTTTCCTTAAGGACTTTCTTCCATTTACACACTGCTCACCAGTAATGGTGTGAATATCAAGATTTTACCACACAGATGATATCTTCTGCCTCCCCCATTACACTTATAATCTGCATTTTGATGCTTCAAAACTAAATTCTGACATGAAACAATTTTAGAAAATAGGCTTGAGTGAAAATATTACTATCACAACCAAATAAAGCACTGGGTATGCCACGTTTATTTATTAGCTCAATCAGTTGAATGTATGTTCTGCAGTTTGGTTATGAGAAACACCAGGTAAAACTATATTTTTTGAAATTGCATCCATGGGGATATCAATGCCAACTCAGTAACTGATTCAGTGATCTATTTCAAGTTGGATACCTTGACAAGCAACAGGTCTTCTTCCATGGGCTTTCTAATTGTAAATGTTAGTCTGGCATTCTCAGCCTCTGCCACAACTTCAATCTCCTCACTGTAAAGGAAGTCCTGGGTGTCTTTTAGGAATTGCAAGACCTAGATGGTTGACCTGGAATCTACAATACTGCTAGTTTAAAACAGGAACTGTAACAGAGGAAACTAAATCAGGTATGGCAAAGTCAAATTTAAAATTGAGCAACTGACTGTGACTGAAACTTGATTTTAAATACCGAAAGCACCCTAGTTCTTGGTGCAGAAGTCATTGAGAAGCCTCCCCTTATTTTCTTGAGACTTGGATGCCCCTCAGAAAGCTCTTTTTTTTTAGTTTTGGGATGTAGTTGTCCTGTCGTAGATGTGAGTACATTGGTTGTCTTCTTCTTGTGGTAGCATCCCACCCTACAATAGGGCACTTTACACACCACGTTGCTCCACAGTCTTGACTTCCTTGGGCAGTGTCAACAGCGGTATAGATTCCAGCTACTGTTTACAAGTTTGGCTCTTCCAGTTGAGATGGCAGTAAGTCTGACAATCCTATGCTGTGAACCTCACCAGAATTTCCAGCAACACCAGGTTCTTCATTAGTTAGTAATTGCAGGCAGCTCAAAAATGAGCCTGATGGCTTGTTTAGTGGTTCCTGATATCAATGAGGGAACCTCAACATCCACAGTAGTGAGCAAGGAAACTCTGGCAAAGAAGTCTCACGAAACATCCTAGAAGGAGTTAAGTGAGGAACTCCTCATATAGCCACCGAAGGTGGTCACAAACGAACCCACATTAGAGCAGATTCCAATACTCAAGTGCCACTGTTAGGAGACAGCAGCTAGTTCCTTTACCACCAGCTGATCTTTGGGAATCCAAGACCACAAATCACAAGACAGCGGCAGCCCTGAAAACTTTACTGGAGGGGCTGAGGTAAGCAGAGTGAAGCCTTGACCACTCTCTGGTGAGTGTAAATTTTGTATTGTATTCTAACTTGGAGTTCCCTCTGTCTTCAATACTCATTAGTGTGGGTGGAAGACAGAGCCCTTGCAGTTTTTTTGGTATATATATATTAATTTTTTTTTCACCTACTTATGATACCCTCACTCTTTCATGCAAGTGGATGTGGATATGCAAAGGGGTTTATATTTCTTTATATATGTGTTATTTTAAAAGTGTGTAAACTTGTCTTTTGTTCTATATACAATATACACTAGATTTCACATGCCACTACTCAATTGTACACATGAGTGATAAGTGGTTAGGTTTTCTGTTGTTTTGGTATTTTGAGGTTTATTTATGTTAAGATGTTTTTCAACGAGTATCTTAATTTGTTCTTTTATCATGATGTATTTTAGTGATTTTAAATCATGATTTAAGTTTTTCATCTGATTGTTTCAATATATCATGACTTATTAACTATGCATCATTTTGTATTAATTTTCAATTATAATTAAAGTGTTTCTTTCTATTTTATACTTATGAATTGCATTAGACTGCCCATTTTTCAAGGGGGCATTATAAAACGTTCTTTAACATAGTATTATGTTATCTTTGTTATAGAATTTTTTGTTTTGTTTTTCTTTTTTGTGTGTTTTGTGATTAATTCTTGTACTCCATCCACTAATAAAGTGAACAATGTACTTCTGTGCCTTTGTTATTTCTTTTTTATTTTAATTTTACTTTTTGTGATTGTTAATGGGTACCAGTGCATTGCATTCTGGTATTCATTGTTAAAGGGTGTTTTTATATATATTTTATGTTATGAAAAGGTTATTTTGCTATGTTTTAATGTGTAAGTATTGTGATTTATAAGTTGTTCTTTAAAGTTCAAAATGTAAAAGAGATTTTATTTATGATTTTAGATTTTCTTTTTTTGCGATTGAAAGTTTTAAATTTAAATATGGTTTTACTTTTAATTTATCTGGTTTTATATTATATTTCACTTTTAAAAAATTTTGTTAAAAGATTGTGTTTGTAGAATTGTAACACATAGTTAATTGTTAAAGGGTTATGTTATCCATGTGGTGTATAGATGTTCATGTCACTAATTTAAAGGTTATTAGTTTTAAAGTTAATATTAATTGTGAGCTTGAAGACAGGATTGGAACAGAGAGGAGAGGAAAAATGTGTTATATGAGCATATCATATGTTTTATACCTTCTTTTAGTGATATATAATTTTTGAACATTTCATTGTTTATCTAGTTTCTATGCATTTTTAGTATAAACATGTGATCCATAAAGCTGTTGAAGTTGCCTTGTTCTAGTTGTTTTGTTTCTTTGTTCTCTGTAGTAGATAATGTCTATTCTGCCTGAATGGATATTGCAATAACTTTATTTATCTAGCTTGAAAATAGTCACCAACTGTAATATCATTTGCTGGCCAAACATATGATGTCTAGGGAGAATCATCACACTACATTATCCAAATTATTTATTATTTTGCATGTTATTTAATTGTAGCGGTCCCCTACTGGAATGTATCACCTATAAACTTAGAAGCTGCTGAAGAGGAAAATGTTAGGTTTGAATGTTCAGCTAGTGGAAAACCTCCTCCAAAGCTTCAGTGGTTGATGAATGGAGAACCTATAGAAAGTAGGTCAAAGGGTTGTTTCTTATTTTTATCCTGAAGAACATACTTATGATAGTTAAGAAATTATGTATGAATAAACTAACTTTCAATTACCAATAAGTTACTTTAAGTGACTCATGAGGATGTAATTGTTTGCTCATTTGGAATTCATGAGTATTGAAATAAGATTAAAAATAACTTTTATTTTCCTGATACAGTATTTATATTGGTCTATTTTTTTTAATTATAACTTCAATGATAACATTCTTTGTTTTACTCTCTTCTGGAGAAATATGAGCACAAGATACACCAGAAAGACTGAAGACTTTATTACCAAGATTTCAAATAATTCAATCTCATTACTAGATCATAGTAATAAATCACTTTCTTTTTTTTATAGATTCTTTCCCACTGTTTTTTCAATTCTACTTTTTATATTTTATTTTTTCTTGAAGAGTTTTGAATTTGGGAAAAAAGGTTAAAGAATCAGGTGTTTTTTATTAGTTA